TATTAAGGTTGCGTTTCCTATGCCTGCTCGACCCATATTTTTGGAGGAAAACAGACATTTATTACCAGTCGTCTCCTGAATGTGATAATCATAGTGCGTCTGAATGCCTGCTCGCCCCGAATTGCTTCCTGGAATGAGCTGGGGAAGCTGCATCTAGTTTGTAATCACATCGGGCTGTTCCCGAGGCACGGAGCTGCTCCCAGCACCCCAGCTGTGTGCAGCCGCTCGGCAGCGTCTCTGGGGCACACTCGGGCAGGCGGGGGGCGGCACGGGCACGGCTCTCTGAGAGAGGGGCCAAAGCCTCCAACGTGAGGGTCTTGGCTGCCTCCTCCTTCCCCCCTTCCCTCCCTCCACTTCTTTATCTCCCGTTTCACTCCCTGCTGTCCCCCTTCCCACCACCCACCCATCCTTCAACTATCCATCCATCCACCCGTTGCTCATCACCCACCCATCATCACCCATCCATCATCTGCCATCCATCCATCCATCCATCCATCCATCCATCCATCACCCATCACCCATCCATCACCTGCCAGCCAGCCATCCCTTATCCATCTATCCATCCATCACCCATCACCCATCCATCATCCATCCATCCATCTATCCATCCATCCATCCATCCCTTCATCCAAGTCTTCCTGGAACCAAAAACCTCACTTGTAGTGACCAGTGATCAGGGGAGGGATGGGAGAAGCACCCTGGGGTGTTCTTGGAGGTGGGGTTGCTGGGGCTGAGCGTGGATGTGCCGAGTCCTGCAGACCAGGCTGCTATCCCCACATTTATAATGTTGCTACCAATGATAAATTTAAAGTGTGAGTTTAAAAATAGGCGTGGTGTTCCATTCTCTGCCATCCTTGCCCATGCGATGTGGTACAGCTGTAAAGGAAACTCGGGAAGAACATGAATATCTCAGTCTCTTTCCCTCTCCCTGGTCCATGTCTGATCCTCTCTGGCAATCAGCATCACTGAAATGTGTCTGGACCCAACGCGAGCCCTGCGCCACCGCCGCACACAGAGTCACTCGGCTCTTGCCGTGTCTGTCGTCGTCAGCACATCCCGGAACTCGTGTCAGGGTTGTATGCCACAGCTGTTTGTGTTACAGTCCCTCTATGTAACACAGCCGTGTGGGGTAGAACCATGCTGATAACAGGCATAAGAACTTTCACCATAGAAGTCAGGTTTTCAGGTCTTTGAAGGAAAATTGACACACGGTCAAATGCTCCCACACTGATGTCAGTGGCTCTGATGGAGCAATCCCCACCCAGCTGCGGGTGGCTCAGTGCTAGCAGTCCGGACTTCCCATCCTCCTGTCAGCCTATTCCCCTCAGCGCCCCCACCCCCACCAGCAGCTTCGGATCTGATTCCCATCATTCGATTCCTTGCCCTTGGGAGACGGCACACACATGGGCATAGGTGTCGCCTGCCAGGCCACCTGGCCCTCCCGCTCCACGGTTCCTGGGGCACCCTCCTTCTCACTGGCGTCTTGGACCAAACTCACAATCCGTGTGTTCTATCGAGGACCCGCGGGGTGGTCGGCCTGTGGGTGTGGTGAGCAGCGCTGTGTCCAAGGTCGTGCCTGTCCACTGCGTGCTCGTCTTCCTTCTCTGGGGCTCAAAGTGGTGCCACTCGGCCGTGGGTGTTGATGACCCACTCTGCAGGACCTGGCCCACGTTCCGAGGTGACCGGGCCACTCTGCCTTCCTGGAAGCCGAAGAGGAAAGTTCCAGGCCTCTGTGGCTCGTGCTTCTCGGAGCCTCCAGAGTGCTGACCTCTGCGTAGGTGATGGGATGGCTCCTTGGGGTGCAGTGTTCATTTCTCCGATGCCCGCCGGTGTCAGCATTTCCGTGGACCAGAAGCCACTCTCTCTCGGTGCCCTATTTTCTTGTCCTTTCCCACGGTCTTTCTGGATTCTCTCTTGCTCATTGATTTGTAGTTATTTGCTACACAGATCAAAGATTTGTCCCCTGTCAGCTTCGTGGAAGGGATGTTTCCCTAGGTGATGCCTCCCATTATACTTTATTCCTTTTTAATTCCTCTCTCTCTCTTTTTTTTTGGTCCACACCAAGCTGGAGGACCTTGCTGGGGACTGAGTCTGGGTTCGTTGCCTTCCCCAGTGCACTTGGGAGCCCCGGGCCCACCCTCATATTTCATTATTGACGATTTTTAAAAGCAAAAGTTGACATGAAAGATAAGATGCCCATTTTTAGTATTTGAAAGAGTCTCCCCTAGGAAATGGGAGGTCTCGGGGAGATGGGAAACTCTTCTCCCCTTTGTGAGGGTTTCTGAGACTGGCCTTTGCGTTTCTCCGTGTGCTCGCGGTGGGGCCGTCACTGTGTGATGTGAGCTGGAGCCTGGGGTGTCCCCAGTTCACCTACCACCCCGGCACCCTTTGTGGCAGTCGGGACACACATGCCAGCAGCAGATTGTGTGATGTGTCTGCCAGTGGGACAAGGTTGGTGTTCAGGCATTCAGGAGCTTCGGGGGCTGGAAGACCCTGTCAGAGAAGACCAGGAGGAGGCGGATGGGGCCCGCCCGCCGCTCTGAGGGCCCCTTTTCGGGGGGAGGAGGGGCTTTCCTCTGTTTTCCGTCAGAATCCTAGCGGGGCTGCCGTGAACTGGGCAAGGCCGTGGGGCTGGGGGACAGACACTGTCCCCTCCCACACCCAGGGGTTCCTCTCGCTTTTCCAAGACAGTGTTTTCAAGCAAAACACCAGGTGGACCCAAATCCCTGGGGAGAGAGAGCTCAGCTGTCTGGAGACCAGGCGCACCCCCCCCCCCCCCCCGCCATCCCCGCCAACAGCTCCTGGCCGGACTTGGCCCTCCTCCCCCGTCGGCAGCTCCTGAGGACGCAGCTGCTCCCTACAGACATGGAGCTCAGGCACAGTCACAAGCCACCCACGGAGGGATGCAGCGGGTGACGCTCCTCCCAGGAGCGATTCTTCCCTTCCCTTGGGAGTTCGCACCTTCGAAGCCCTTTTGAGCTCCCCCAGATTCATACCCAACATGCTCTGAGAAACGGTCGCGGCCAGATTCAGTGCGAGGCTGTGTCTGCGGGAGTCGCAGGAGCCCCTCCAGGGGGCCGTCACCCTCAACACGGAGCGCAGATGACAGTCATGGAACATAGCCGAAACATGATCCCATCATGGGGGTGGGGCGGCCGGATCTGCAGGTGCCTGTTGGCCCGCACCCCCTCTCTTTAGGCTCATGTTCCGGGGGCCTGTTGGCCCGCACCCCCTCTCTTCAGGCTCCGGCTCCAGAGCCCCTGCCCGCGCTCCCAGACAAGCCACCCCCCCCACCCCGTCCCCACATTTCTTCACGGCATGGGAGCAGGCATTTCCTGCGGCCATCTCTGGGGTGGTGAGGCTCATCTGAGAAGCTCAGGCTTGTGCTGGTTTTCCCGTGAGCCTGGCCAGCCTCAGCCCCGCCCCGTGGCACCAGCTCTCTTGTTTTATGGCCTGGGCAGCCTGGAGAGACCCGGGGGGACTCGGTGCCCGCCTGCTGGGTGGGTGGGTCACGATTCCAGGGCCACCAGCGTGAAGCTCGGAGCTGGTGTCTGCGGGTTCCCTCCAAGCTCCAGCCCAGCCCTTGGGGCGTCTCCAAACACACCAGGCTGTGGCAGGGGTCCCACGGAGTCCTCCCACCCGTCACCAGGGACAGAGGCATCTGTCTTTATATCCGAGGCACCCAGAGGTCGAAGTTCTAATTGGTAAGCAGGAGCTAATCGGGCCAAGCGCCAATGTGCAAGCTGCCGCTTCCTCAGCACTGGAGAAAGCCCAGGAAGGCAGCAGAGCCTGTGCGGGCTTTGCCGGCTGCCGGCCCATGTCCAGGACACCGGCTCATTCATGGTTGGGATCGGCGCCCCGGAACCCAGTGCTGCCTCTGAGGCACCAGGCAGCATCGTCGCTGATAAAGGAACAGAGGCTCCAGCTCTGCGCACGAGGTTTGCAGCATCACCTCAGGCCCCCCAGGCGGGCCAGCAGGGACCCCCGGGCGCTGGGCCCCCAAGCTCGACCCGGTTGTCTGAGAGGAGTTCTGCTGCCGGAGCACAGACAGGCAGAGCCCCGGTGCCACAGAACTGCCCTCGTGGCACAGCGGGCGCTGGCAGGTCTCAGAGCGGTGTGTGCCGTGACCAGGATCGAGCCCGTCCGAAGCCGCTGGCGTCTCTTTCTCACACTTGGCAGATTCCTGGGTGAGAAGAGCAGCGTCGGGCGAGACAGGGCGAGTTCACCGAGACCCCGTCCCAGGAAGGCTCGGGGGTCACTGGGCCTGGGAAGCTCGGCCTCCCCCAGTGCCCTCACGAGCTTTGTGCTCTGCCTCTGAGCCCCCGTGGGCGGCAGGCTCCCGACACCCGCCCCCACGTGTTCTCACTCTGCCAGGCCGGGGGCCGGGCAGCAGGCTCGGACCCTGCGACTGAGCCCGGAGCACACGGGAGGCCAGGCTGGGCCTGTCTCTGCACAAAGGGCCGGATGGGCAGAGCCAGGCTGGGCCTGTCTCTGCACAAAGGGCCGGATGGGCAGAGCCCCGTGAGAGGGCCAGCCCTGGGCCGCCGCCCCAGCCAGGTGGGCACCTTGAGGGCACTGTTCCCCGGCTGTGGCCATGCTGGACTTGCCGCTTCCCTGGTCAGCGTCTCTGTCTCTGGGTCACTCACTGCTGACCTCGCTGTCACTCTGTGTTCCTGTCCTTGCTCCTGGCTCCCTGTCCCAGGTGACAGCCCTTGGTGTCGGGGTTGTACCTGCCTCTGCCTGGGACCAGAGTGTGCCTCAGTTTCCTCAGATGCCCGAAAGTCCACTCGTTGACACTCTCACATGGCCTGTCTCTAACGGGCCCGTGAACACGCGTGCCCTGCCCCGTCATGAGGAAATCTCTTTTTCACGCGTGTCTTGCTCCCCGCGGGGCCCTCAGCCTGGAGCCGGGGTCCCCAAGGACACGAGGTATGGGCAGAGCCCTGTGGGTGCATCGGTGACCGAGGGACAGGCGTGACCTTCTCTCTCCCCCCCGCCAGGTCAATGCCAAGGATGACGAGGGCGTGCTGGTGGGGTCCTGGGACAACGTGTACGCCCACGGGGTCCCGCCGTCAGCCTGGACCGGGAGCGTCGACATCCTGCTGGAGTACCACAGTTCCCGGAGCCCCGTGCGCTACGGCCAGTGCTGGGTCTTCGCCGGTGTCTTCAACACCTGTGAGTCTGGGGGCATCGATGCAGAGCCAACCCCCCCCCCCCCCACCAGCCGCGCCCCTCGCCCTCAGCCCCAGCAGGCTATTACGGCTGCAGCCGATGCATAATTAAATGACTCGAGTTTCCCCTGGAATGCGGGATTTCTAGGAAGAGTGATGGCCCTTCTCCCAGGCCATCCATCACCCGGAGACACACGGAGGGAGCAAGGCCGGGGAGGGGTGAGGGAGGCGCCCTCCCCTGCTGCCCCCATGCCCGTGAAGGCGGGGTCAGTGCCTTCACCGCTGGCAGGGAGAGAGGCTGCCCGCTGCCCGTGGCCGCAGAGAAGTGGCCTTTGTGGGTCCCCTTGTGTCTGAGCGTCTGCCCAGGCTGAGTCTGTCCCAGCCCCAGAGGGACCGAGGTGGCCGCTTGTTCTGCACTGTGGCCCTTGGCAAGCAGAAGGTCGGGCCTGGACCCGGTGCCCCTCGGTCCCTCCCCTCCTCTTCGTCCACTCACTGACCATTGGCCTCCACACGCGCAGGCCTGAACAAAGCCGGCGCCAGAGTGCGTGTCCACTCACTACATCTCCCCAGCTCATTGACCATCATAAACTCTGGGCCAGCAGGCCGGCAGCCCACGGTGGGCGGGCATCCAGGAGGCGGTTACGGAAGCTCCTCTCCAGCTCCAAGTCACCCCAAGGCTCATGCCCAACCGGGCAGGGACCCGAGTGTCGTGCTCTGATGGGCCCAGCTGCCCCTCCTGGCCATCACCAGAGAGATCTCCCCGTGGTGGAGAGGCCCATCTCGTCCTGGAGAGGAACTGGCCTGGGGGCCCCTGGGGGCCCCTGGGGGACCCCACCCCTCCCGGTCTCAAGGGCAGGCACCATTCTGCCCCCCGAGAGCCGAGACTGTGGACCCGGGAAGGTTCCAGGAAACAGGCCATTGCTCCCTCCTGCCCGCTGCCCAGCCCTGCCCCAAGGCCGGCCAGGCAGAGGCAGAACCCCCCCCCACCCGCAGCCCCTCGGACCTCCACATTCCCCTCATTCCCTCCTGTCCGTGGGCTCTCCTGGTGCTGAGGGGGGCCCAGGCCGTGGGGGGGGGTGTCTGTGGGAGGTGGAGTGAGCGGCTCCAGCTGGGCTCGGCCGGGCATTTCCTACCCGCAGCATGAAGCAGGGGACAGAGCCCATGTTGGCGGCCACGGCCTCGGGGGCTGGCCTTGTGCAGTCACTGATCGGGACACTCGAGTCCCCACCGGGCTCGCCTCGGAGCCTCAAGGTTGTTCTCCAGGAGGTGGAGAGGTTTCGTTTAAAATGCTAAACTATTCCGAGAGAGAGAGAAAAGGCGAGGCCAGTCATTAATCTCAGAGTTGTCAGCTGAATTATTCTCAATGAGCCCTGATGTGTGGTGTCCCGGGAGCCGGAGGCGCCGGGATCGAGCCTGATCAATAAGGCCATGGCGAGAGGTGCGCGGCCTGCAGGCAGCCAGCCAGCACCCGGCCACTGCGCCAAGCCAGACTGTCCACCACGCGTGACACGTGTTGGGGAAGGCGGGCCACCGTGCATGTCACACGTGACGTGAGGGCGGGTCCCTGTGTGTGACATGTGTTGGGGAAGGCGGGTACCTGTGTGTGAGACACGTGTGGAAAAGGCGGGCCACCACGCATGTCACACATGACATGAGGGCGGGCCCCTGTGTGTGGGTCACACGGAGGCCTGAGGGCTGGCCGCCACGGTGGCATCTGAGACGTGGGTCCTTGGTGCCCACAGTCCTGCGATGTCTCGGGATCCCGGCGAGAGTCGTCACCAACTACTTCTCGGCCCACGACAACAATGCCAACCTGCAGATGGACATCTTCCTGGAGGAGGACGGGTCGGTCAGCAACAGGCTCACCAGGGACTCCGTGTGGTGAGTGGGCTGTCAGGGAGTCTGCAGCACTCTCAGGGTCGGAGGATGCGTGGGGGCAGCAGGGATGTGGGGCCATGGCCGGCGCTGCCGGTGACCTCTGGCTGAGCCAGCCGCCGGGGCTAATCCAGATGGATCACCCTGTTAGCCCCGGGCGAGCACTGGGGGCTGGTCCCGAGAGGCCCTGAGGGCCGGGGCGAGTGTCTATGCCCGCAGCCAGAGGGGTCTGCAGCCCGAGGGAGGGCTGGGCACTCTGGCTGTGCAGCAGGACGGGGGCCCCCGCCCCAGGGACTCGCAGGTGCCGGCCATGCCCGAGAGGGCCCCTGTCTGGGCCGCGTGCCTCCCGCCAGGCACCATCCCCGAGCAAACAGCGTCTGCAGCTTGTTCCTCAGCTCTGAGGCGAGAGCCGGAGGGGGAGCCCGGGCAGCCGACGCTGCACAACTCCCACAGCCCACGGAGCCGCTGACCGGGGATGCAGGGCGGGGCCACACCCAGGGCCACACTGAGGGCCCCCGGGGAGACAGACCACGCAGAGGGCCGGACAGGGAGGGGACAGCACCACGGAGGGCCCCTTTAGTCCCCCCACACACACTGTCACACACAGTCACACACATTGTCACACTCACCCACTCTGTCACACACAATCACACACAGTCACAGCACACACTGTCACACACTGTCACACACAGTCACACACTCACAGTCACACCCTATCACACAGCACATGTGGTCACACATTGTCACATTGTTACACACAGCCACAGTCACACATTGTACCACACTGTCACACACACCGCCACATATACTGTCACATGCACACACTGTCACACATTGTCACACACCCTGTAACACACTGTCACACATGCACTGTCACGCTGTTTCAAAGTGTGTTAGAAACTCACACACTGTCACATGCACAGTGACGCACACTGTCACACACGCACACGCTCTCTTACACGCACACTGCCACACACTGCATCATTAACACACACATCATAGACACAGCTCCTGTGCTCACACAGTCACAAAATCAGTCACACTCACACTGTCAGGGACACAGACACACATAGTCACAGTAGTCTACACTCACATGTGCACACACTCACGCTCACATACACACACGCACGCACATGCCCCTTTGACAGCCTGGACAGAGCGCTGACCGGTCTGGAGCTGGGCTCTGGCTCTGGGCTGGGCTCTGAGCCAAGTCCTGTACGGGGGTGGGAGGGTCTCTGCCGGGTGTGAGGGGGTGGTGTGACCAGTGCAGGGCCAGGGCAGTAACTGCCTGTTGGCCCAGAGCCCCAGAGGTTGGGGGGCAGTGTTCCCAGCGCAGCGCCTTTGTGGGGTCCTGGCAGTGTTTGTGGGGGACCCCCAGTCTAGAAGGTTCTGGAAGGTGAGCCAGGAGTCACAGGGACCAAGAATCAGGCCGTGAGGCCATGGCTGGGGTTCCAGGCTTTGTGTGGAAAGTGGCTGGGTGGTCAGTGCGCTGGTCCCCAAGGGACAGGGATGGCACCACCTCGGGAGGCAGGTGGGACCCCTCCCCGGCCAGCCCTAGCCCGCACCCTGCACAACCCCTGCTCCTCTCTGCCTCCCCAGACGGTGCCCAGCGTGGCCCGCCCAGAGCGGGTCAGTGTGAGGGTCACCACTGTGCCTGCCCTCCCCGCGCCTGCCCTTCCCACAGAGCCCCAGCCCGGCCTCTGGATCCCTGGGACCCAGCTGCGCCCAACGCCCTCGACCAGCCGGCCCTGCCTCAGCCCTGCCCTCAGAAGCTCCGAGTCCCGGGCATAAGGCCAGGCTGGGCTCAGCTCCCGACGCAGGGACCCACGTCTGCTCCTCCCGGCCCGGTGCCAGCCGCTGGCACCTCTGGGAAGAGGCAGACCTGGCTCCAGGGGGACCCGGGGCACGAGAGGACGTGGGTGGCCCTCAGCTCTGCAGCCCTCATCACCCTCAGGTTGAAGCAGGCTTGATTCAAACTGGCTTTTTCCTATTTCATTTTTAAAAATAGTGGTGAACTAGGAAATTTGTATTTTTCCATTTTAGTTCAAGGTTGTGACAATCTAAGAATTCGTCATGATCCAAGTAGAAAGAAATCACAGTTTTATTCTGTTTGTCTTCATTGCAACACAGGGGGAAAAACACGAAACCAAGTCAAATTATCCCTGCACCTTTCTCCTCTCTCCGTGGTGCAAGGTGCCTGGCGATGAACCAAGCCGGCTGGGTGCGCGGGCCGGTGTCTGGCCCTGCTGGCCGCGTGTGCCCTGGTGTGCATGCGTGTGTCCTAGTGTGCATGTGCGTGTCCTGGTGTGCATGCATGTGTCCTAGCATGCATGTGTGTGTCCTGGTGTGCATACGTGTGTCCTAGAGTGCATGCATGTGCCCTGGTGTGTATGTGCATGTCCTGGTGTGCTGGTGTGCTTGCGTGTGCCCTGGTGTGCAAGCCTGCATCAGTCACCCTGCACTCAAAGGCTGTCTCAGCCACCCTGCACTCAAAGGGTCGGTCTCTCGAGTCCTCCTCTGCTCAGTTCCTCCTTCCCTCGCCCCAGGGAGGTCACTGCACTGACTTCTCAGGCCTGCTGACCCCCGTCTGTCAGGCGGCTGCTGAGGCCTGGAAGCCCTCAGCGTGTCCCTTCCTTTCTGCCCTCCTGTCTCCTCACTGGCACTATTCTCGGCTTCCGCAGGCCTCTGATCATGTTGGGAACAGTGGGGGCAAAACCCTCACGAGGCAGCCTGGCGAGGAGCCTCCCCGAGGCGTTCCCCTGGATATACGCTCTCTCAGTGCACGGGTCCCACAACACGACACTGAGTTGCGTTCCTCCTTCCAGAGCCCGTTGTCAATGTTGTACTCCTGTTCCTCGTGAGGGATCGGCCTGTGGTCTGCAGCCGAGGAGGCGAGGGGGAGGTCACCACTCCCACAGCGCTGGCCGTGTTCTGGGGGCCCACGTGGAGCCAAAGCGATGCAGGCGAGAGACGCCAGCCCGCCCCTCCGGCTGTGGTGGGCTTGCCGGAGAGCAGCTAGCAGCCGGGCTGGTTCCCTCCACGTGCTCCGCCAGGAGCTCCAGCCTGCCAAGGAGCTGTGGGTGCTGAGTGGGAGCATGGAAGCACCCATATGAGTGTGTGTGTGTGCACACGTGAGCACGAGCACGTGAGTGTGCATATATAGGTATGAGTGTTCGCATACACGTGTACACGTGTGCAGTGCATGTGGGTGCCTAAGCGTGTGCATGTGTGTGGACAGACATGTGTGACTGTGTGTGACTCTGTGTGATTGTGTGTGGTAGTGTGTGGCTGTGTGTGAGTTTGTGACAGGGTGTGACTATGCGATGGTGTGACTGTGTTTAACAGTGTGTGTGACAATGTGTGACTGTGTGTGTCTGTGAGTAACAGTGTATGTATTTGTGTGTGGCTGTGTGTGACAGTGTGTATGAGTGGCTGTGTGTGAGTGATAGTGTGTGTGACAGTGTGTGACAGTGTTGTGTGGCTGTGTGTGGCTGTGTCTGGAGGTGTGTATGTGACTATGTGTAGACAGTGTGACAGTGTGACAGTGTGTCTGTGTGTCTGTGTGTGACTGTGTGTGACAGTGTGTGTCTGTGTGTGTGAGACAGCGTGTCTGTGTGTCTGTGTGTGAGTGATACTGTGTGTGGGCACGTTGGGAATGTCTCTGACTCCGTGGGTGGTGCCTCCAGCCAGCTGGGGCCGGCGCTCGCCCCTCTGGGTCTGCTGCCCTCACCCTGACCCCGGCCATGCAGACGCCAGCCCTGGTGAGTTGTCCAGAGTGGGCAGGTGCTTCCTGACTTTCCCTCATGTCTTGGGGACGAGCTTGGGCTGTCCGGGCGGACCCAGGCCAGTGGCAGCTGGAGTTGCCTGGACAGGGTGACGAGCAGAGGCTGGAAAGCGAGCTCTGAGCAGGCGGCTGGTGGACCCCGCCCGGCTCTCCCCTCCCCTTGGGGCTGCTTCCAACCTGTGGGCCCTGGGCAGTGGGCAGTGCTGACCCCTGGCCTCGCTGCTGCCCTCCTGCGTGGCTTCCCTGATCGATCCCTGGTTCTCGGGGACAGTGGGTGTGTTTGCTCGTGTTGTCATCCCTCGAGGGCCGACCCTGGGGGCTCCTTGTCTCCCCCTTTCTAAAGCTTGCCACAGAGGGGGCTTCTAGCTGGGTGTCCCCAGACCCTGAGGGTCCCGTTTAAGGCCTTGGGGCTTCTGATAAGGAGCCACAGTCCTCCTGGTGTCCAGCTGGACCATGATCCTCCCCCTGTGTCTGTCTCAGCCAGGGCCTGCTGGAGGCTCCCGGGCACTGGGGAGAGGCAGTAGCGGTCAGGGTGCTGTCGGTGTGGCGGGGTTAGGGGGCTGCACGGCGCAGCTCCAGAACCTTCTACGTCACTGCTGCTGGTTCAGAACCCCCCCAGGTGACACCTGCAGCCCCCACTCTCGTTTGGGGGTGAGCAGAGCTGGGGGCAGCCGAGATGAGGGCAGCCCCCTGGGGAGTGACAGCAGTGATGAACCCACAAAAAAACCAATGCATCATTTCTATAAAATAAGAAAAACGCTGTGTTCCGGGTAATCAAATTCCACCTAAGCACCATTATTTATACCATGCAAAGCTTACCGGCCTTCGAACAATTAGAAACTAATAAAGCTCACCCCCCCCCCAAACTGTACTGAATGTAACTTAATTTCTTTTGGTGATAAATAAGACCCCTCGAAAAACTTTATACAAACGCTGCCAACCTTGGGATATTATGCTTGGAAGCTCTATGATCACACCAGCCCCTCGAGCCCGTGGAGGCGTTGGCCGTGGTCTCTCTCCCCCCAGTCACTGTGGCCGGAATGCAGCATGGGAGGATTCTTCCGTGGCAGCCTCAGAAGTGAATATTCCCCGCATTCCGTTTCTCCAGCATTCCTGGGCAGTGTATTGGCACCCCTGGGCAGTGGACGTGGGTGGTGGGCCTTCCCGGGGCAGTGCTCCCGCCCGGCCAGGCTTGGCTAGGGAGGCTCCCAGTGGGGGGTGGGTCTGCGCCTGAGATCTGGGTACAACTGGCCTGGGGGCTCGGTCACACCTGGCCTCCCGGGGGACGTGTGCTGTGGGGATGGGCTCACTGCTGACCCAGGCCCGGGTGACACCTGCCATGACAGCTCCTGGCCCTTGGGGTCATTTTCACGGATATTTGGTGTTTTTGTGATTTGGCAAAAACGCCAGATTTGTCTTGTTTCTGTCTCTGTCCTCCTCTGGTGCATCAATGAAAAGAATCAGTCTTACGAGGGGGAGCGATCGGAAAGGAGGACAAGTGTGGGCTGGGGCGGCCGGGGATGGTCCCGTGAGGTGGGTGGGGCGGCTCCCTCGGGGGCTGCATGGCAGGTCCTGCTGAGCCGTAGGGTCCAGTGGCTCCGTTACATGTGTGCCTGGGCAGTCTCGGTGTAGCATCACCTCCTGCTGGTACTGGGCTTCGGACCCCGACTCCAGCCCCCCCCCCTCCCGGGACCCTGTGCTGGGGAGACTAGGGGTGCCAGCCATTCGGGGTGCAGAATGGCGGGTCCCACCAGGACAAGGACAGTGACGCGCTCCTCTGTCCCCCGACGGGACCCTGCTGGCTTCCTGGGTGGGCGCGGGGCTTCCTCCCAGACAGGCCGTGCCAGGTGCCTCCCTCATGCTCCTGAGCGTGTCTGCCCGGGAGTGTGGGTCAGCTGCATGCAGTGACTGTTTCATCCACCCTGTCAGCACCCGCAACGTCAGGGCCTCCCTGGCCTCAACAGGACGGAGACCGCGCTGCCTTGCCCCGCCCAGTCCAGAGTGCAGGGAGCAGCCTGGCCAGCGCTGGACGTGGGGTGGGAGGCCCCAGGTCCCCTGCCCCCGGCCGGCCCCGCCCCCAGGGTCCCCCGTCTCTGTTGTCCCCGAGACGCAGAACCTCAGCAGAACCCGGAGAAGCCCGGCAGAACGCCAGCCCGGCCCAACCCGCAGGCCAGGCCCAGGGTCACGCTTGCTGCCAAGCCGTGGCACGGGGGTCCCCACCCACCTGCACAGAGGCGCGGTAGCCCCCTCCCCTGCACAGGGAGACACTCCCTGATGGCCTTGCCCTGCCCAGGGGCATTTCGGGGCCCCTTGCTCCCCTGCTGTGACCCTGCCCCCGGGCCCCGGCATCTGCATCACTCTGAGCCAACCTTCAAGGCTCTCGGCAACGACGCTGTGCTGAGGGTCTCACTGCACCCTTGTCGGGGACCCCCAGCTCTGGCATGCAGGGCCGTGCCCTGGAGAGTTCCTCATGGCAGGCTGTGCCCTGTCACCAAAGCCCCAGCTCAGGGACAGCCCCTTGGGTGTGGGGGAGGGGAGGGCAGCTGGGGGGAGGAAGACGCGTGGGGAGGGGAGTCAGGTGTGGAGAGAGGGGTGGGGTGGGGGAGGGGAGGGGGTGGAAAGGGGAGGGGAGGGGAACTGGTGGGGAGGGAGGGGCAGGCGTGGCAGCCCCAGCAAATCCTCTCAGTGGTCCCGACTGGTCCATCTGGGCAGGTCCACGGGCCACATGGCTCTGCTGGTTTCTGGCCTCATCCTTGCCGGCTCCCGAGGACACTTTCGAGCTCAGGAGGATTCTGGGTCCCTGCCTGCAGCGAGGCCTCTGTGACCCCGAGTGGCCGAGCCTGTGCTCGTCCCGGCGGCCCCTCAGCCACTCGGCACCAGGCCACCAATCCGGCTGCTGGAGTTGTCCCGTTCCCATAGCAACAGCTGTTGGCCTCGGCAGCAGCTTGTGGCTGGCACAGGGTGAAGCTCTGTGTAAACTGAGACCCACGGAGCCAGGGAGGCCCCAGCTACCCCCCACCCCCCCGGGCCGCCTGCGTCTGGGCAGCAGAGGCCGAGGGGTCTGAGCCCTGGGTACACTGGTCACCCCGTGACCGTGGTTCCGTGAGGGCCATGCGCCACCCTGGCCATGGGCAGTCCCCGTCTCCAGGCCCCGGGTGGGGTCTGACTGCCTGGTTTGCCGGCCGGCGGGAGCTGAGTGTGGCCGGTGTTTTCCAGGAACTACCACTGCTGGAACGAGGCATGGATGGCGAGGCCGGACCTGCCCGTGGGCTTCGGCGGCTGGCAGGCCGTGGACAGCACCCCCCAGGAGAACAGCGACGGTAGGGCTGCCGCCGGGTGGACACAACCCCAGGCAGGGCCGTGCCAGCCTTCCACGGGGAGGGGCAGGGCAGTGAGGGGCATGTGGGCTGGGCCGGACTGGGGCGGGGGGGGGGGGGGAAGGATGCAGCCCTGCTCTGTGTCGAGATGTCCCCTGCAGCTGGGCACCATCCCCCTCCCCTTCCCTGTGCCCTTCCCCAAACCCCCAGACCCGCGTCTGCCAACAGCCCTGCTTTGGGCTGGGCAGATGCAAACCAGTGGCTGGGACCATCGTTCCCAGGGTGCTGAGACATGCACACACATGTGCCACCATGCATGAACACGCATGTTCCCCCAGGCTCTGAGACATGCGCACAGCGTGACCCATGTGTGAACACACGTGTGTCTCTAGGCACTGGGACATGTGTACACGTGTGCCGCCCTGTGTGAACATGTGGTGAACAGGCGTTCTCTGGTACTTGATACACGGTGTCACCATGTGTGAATAAACATGTTTCCCAGCACTGATCCATGCGCACATGTGCTGTCATACATGAACATTTATTCTTGGGCACTGAGAGCTGTACGTGTCATCACGTGTGAACATGCGTGTTTCGGTGCATTGGGACAGCACATGTGTGCTGCCATGTGTAGAGACGCCTGCTCACGCCTTAGTGCCCCGAGGCTCTGGGCCCGGGATGGCTGTGGTGGCTCCTGACTGAGGGCTGGGTGCCCGGCACTCGCTGTGTCCATCCACGCCTGCGTCACCAGGCAGTGAGGCCAGACTGAGGCCATTGTCCAGCCGCAGCAGCTGCCCTGGGCCCGGCGGCCACAGCTCTCCTTAGCTCTCCTCTGCTCCCCTCACAGTCAGCGCTGGGCTGGCACTGGGCCTCGGTCCTTGCCAGCTCCGGCAGGGCCAGTCCCGGCTCCCGGGGGGCGGGGGGGGGGCGGGGGCGGCGTCCCGCGAGGCGTGGACTTGGTCAGCTCACGCCCCCACAGGCATGTACCGCTGCGGGCCGGCCTCCGTGCAGGCCATCAAGCACGGCCACATCTGCTTCCAGTTCGATGCCCCATTCGTCTTCGCAGAGGTGAGTGTGGGCGGGGGGTGGGCTGCCCTGAGCCCGCGTGGTAGTGCGAGACAGCAAGGCGGAGCTGGGGGGGGGGGGCTCCCGCATGCGGTGCCCGGGCCTGAGCCCCTGAGCTGGGACTCGACCTCCGCCTCAGCTCTAGGCCAGGCCTGCCCTCCCCGCGCCATGTGTGGAGAAACCCAGGTGCAAGCTCCGGCGTCACCGGGGGTGGCAGGTCCCTGCAGGCCTCCTGCTTGCCACATGGAGGTTCCAGGCACCAGGAGCCCCCCGGGGGCCACTGCAGACCCCAAGCCATGCCCCTGCATGTGGAAGCAGGGGCCACTGAGCGTGTCTCTCACAGCTGTTGATGCAGACGCTTCTGCTGTTACTAAGCAGACTGGGGCACTGTGGGGTCTGGGGACCTGCCCCGGGACCCTGCTCCTCGCCAACACTTGTGCAGTGCAGCCCCAGGGTCCTGGGGAGATGCTCGGGGGCTGTCCTGTGCCCGATACTCGGGCGTCTGCGCCTGCCGCCTGCCGGCCTCTCGTCCCCGGGCACCTGGGGGTCTCTCCTCTCTCACCTTCCTGCAGGCCGACTTCCTGATCATGCCTTACTCACTTCCAGACAGCCAGCGTTACCAACGTTTTCACTTTTGTCCTCTTGTTTGTCTTCTCGGGGCCGTGGTGCCCTTTGGCGGGTGTGAGGCGAGGAGTCGAGGCAGCGTGTGCGGGCTGTGTGGCTTTGGGCTGAGCTGGGCGTCTCTGAGCCACACAGGCTGGGAGGAGGAGTGGGAGCGAACCATGGGCAGGAAGAAGCTTGGCACGCTGTGCCCACTGACACCCCTCCCAGCGCCCACACCCGCCAGGCACAGCTGCCCCATGTGCTGGGCAAGGGCCAGCCCCTCCGCCCGCAGTGGCTGGGGACTGGCCTTGCTGGCTGCAGAGTCCGGCTGAGGACGGGTTTCAGCACCAAGGACAGTTTCTTCCCCTTGTCCCAGAGGTACTGCAGCAAAGGCAGCCCCTGGCACAGATCCTGCCCTGCCCAGAGGTCTGGGCCGGGGGCGGGGCGGGTAGGCAGCCTCCTGGGAGGGGGGAGCAGTCCGGGAGCGGGGGAGGTGCCCTGCAGAAGGAAGCGGGTGGACACTGAAGCAAGAGCCCCTCGGAGGCTCCAGATAAACAAGGTCTGTGTGGTGGGAGAGCCGGCGAGCTGGCGCCGGGGGCGGAGCGAGGCGGGAGCCAGATCCACAGTATGGCCGACTCAGGCTCCAGGGTTCTGCGGTGCTCAGCCCACAGTGCCCGGGGCTGTGTGGTGCTGAGGTGGAGCCCAGGGTTCTCTCATGCCAGGAGCCCTGTGGCCACTGCGAGGCAGAGGAGAGATGTGTCGTTTGGAAAAGCATTTTGCAGGGTCTCCTAGCGTGTCCGGGGAGGCTGGGCTTGCTCCCAGGGTACGTGGCTTGCTGGACCAATGGTCACTTCAGTGCTTGCCCGACGCCATAGACTCAAGCACTGCCAAGCCGTACTCAGAGCCCATGGGTCAACCTTAGTCCCAGGGCCTGGAAAGCCTGTGTGTGCCCTTATACCGACCCCGTAGGTGCCTACACAGGAGAAGCCGGGCTCGTCTGGGCGCTGGGCGAGGGCGGGAAAGGTATGGGAGGCCTTGAGGGCCCAGAGCTCCGCAGCGCCCAGGAACAGAGGCGGGCTCAGCCGTGGCCGGACCGAGTGCTTCTGAGTGTGTTTCTCGACCAAGCTTGCGAAGGGGTTTGAGGGGGGCCCAGGCTGCCCCTGAATGCCCGGATAAATGAGTTTACTACCCTAGACACCAAATGGCAGGCAAAGTCGGCTCCGTGGAGGTCACACAGGGAACCTGGTGCTGGGCACGAGGGACCTACAGAGACGCGTCTGAACCGCTCAGAGGATCTCCCGCCCAGAGCTGCACAGAGCGGCAGGAGGAAACAGGAAGGCCGGAGCTGGGAGGCTGAGGCCAAGCTGCTCGGGGCAGGAGCAGGGGCATGTGGGTGTGCACGGTGCTAAGTGTGTGTGTGCAGCTGTGCGAATACATGTGTGTACAAGTATCATGAGTGCATGTGTGCGAGAGTTGTGTGCACATGTGTGCCGAGTGCATGTGTGCAAGTGTGTGAGAGCTTGTGCAAGTGTGCACACGTGTGCTAAGTGCATGTACCAGGCACTGTGAGTGCCCGTCATGCGTGTGCACGTGCATAGGTAAATGTGTGCGGAAGCACATCGGGTACGTGTGAGCAAGTATTGGAGTGCGTGTGTGGGTTATGAGGGTACGCGCATGTGTGCCTGCCTGGTGCATGTGTGCACGTGTGTGAGTTGGGGCAGAACGGTGGAAGGAGGGCCCAGGGCATCAGAAGGTGCGAGGCTTGGGAGAGGCACCACAGCCGGGGTCAGCCTGGGTCCAGGTGGCCTCCCACTGCTGCTCCTGCCCTTGGTGCCCGGGACAAGCCTGCACCAGCTCCCGCCTGAGGCTGCGTGCAGCCCTGCTGGGGGCTCGGGAAGGGAAAGCCCGCCCCTCTGCCCCTCCCCTGCGCCTGCCTCCAGAGGGACGAGGCAGGCTCTCGAGGCTCTCGCCATCTCATGTTTAGCCTGTCTCCTGGAAAGGCTCTCGCCATCTCATGTTTAGCCTGTCTCCTGGAAAACCCGGGCTGTTTGTGGGGCAGCTATTAAGGGGTATTCATCACCGTTGCGCTGTGAGTTGCAAGTGGGGGAGGGAGCTGTGCGTGCCGCTCGGCCTCCTCCGGGGCTGAGCAGCCTCTCAGGAAGCTCCTTCAGCGTTGCCTCATTTTTTCCCCGAAATGACAAATGTTTCTGAGATGTCTGCTCTGTCATCTCCTGTCCTCATTCCCAGTTTCACCCTCAGCTTTCCACACCATCTGGCGAGTGCCGCTGAGCCTGATTAGCGCTGATGGGGGGGCTGTGCTGTCACCCCCAGAAGTCTGAGACCCCAGCACAGACACCGCACCACCACGTGGGACGCTCCAGTCCTGCAGGGACTGTGATGTCACAGGACCAGGCCCAGGGATTGGGGGGGTGGTACTCAGCCTTCATGCACACTTCTCCCCTGCCCCCAGCATCCCTGTGCAGGGCAGGACGCATTTCTAGGGGGCCGTGAAGAGCAGGTGAAATGCACATCCCAGGGGCTCAGCAGCCAGACACCCCTCACCCCAGGCTCCCCAGGCCCTTTCCTCTTCAGGGCCCTTTGCCCCCTTCTTGTTTAATTTGCCTGTTTTCATGTGCCTGTTCGTTCTCCCGGGGCTAGGATCACTGCGTTTAGCTTGTCTTCGTTCACAGTGCCTTCCCGGTGACTGAACACGCACATGACTGGACTCCAGGCCCCATCACGACCACCACCTAACACCCTCTGTTCTGTGAACCTTGTCTTGTTAGGGTGGTTGGGTTGTAGCTGGTTATAGTGTAGCTGGGTGTTGGACCGCTTGTTAGTTTGTTAGCTATAAGTTGGTTGTTTTGTGTTTGGATGGTTGGTTGGCTTGTGGTTGGTTAATTGGTTGGCTGCTAGCTCATTTGTTGGTGGTTGTTGTTGGTTGGTTGGTTGCTGGATGGTTTGTTGGTGTTTGGTTGGTTTTTGGCTGGTTTGTTGGTAATTGGTTGGTTCCTGAGTGGTTTTTTGGTGGTTGTTGGTTGTTGGCTGGTTTGTTGGTGGGGTGGTTGTCGTCGGTTGTTGGCTGATTTATTGGTGGTTGAGTGGTTGCAGTTTTATTGGTGGTTAGGTGGTTGTTGTTGGTTGGTTGCTGCCTGGTTTATTGGTGTTGGGGTGGTTGTTGTTTGGTTAGTTGTTTGGTTGTTAGCTGGTCTGTTGGTGTCTTGGTGGTGGTTATTGGTTTGTTGGTAGCTGGTGGTTGTTTGTTTGTTGGATGGCTTGTTGGTTTTTGTGGTTTCGTTAGTGGTTGGGTGGTTGTTGTCCAGTCGTAGGTTAGTTGTTGGCTGGTTTGTTGGTGGTTGGGTGTTTGTGGGTTTGTTAATAGTTGGATAGTTGTTGGGTGGGTGGTTGTTAGGTGGTTGTTTGGCAGTTGGTTGGTTGTTGGCTATTTTTTGGTGGTTGGGTAGTTGTTGGGTGGGTGGTTGTTGGGTGGTTGTTTGGTAGTTGGTTGGTTGTTGGCTTGTTTTTTGGTGGTTGGGTAATTGTAGGTGGTTGGGTAGTTGGTTGGCTGGTTGGTCAGTTACTGGTGCTCACAGCACTTCCCATAAGAATCTTGGGTTCGCAAACTCCTATGTGTCTTCCAAGTTTCTAAGTGGTTGATGCTCCCTTGTCTCCTGGAGCTCACATGGTGTTTGGATAAGGTACCACTGGACTGTATTGCAATGGGCCATCAGGCCTAGCTGTCCCACAGACTTGTTGGGGACCTTTGAAAAGAAGGAGCAGATTTAGCACCTCTATTGTTTCTCCCAAGACCTCCCTGACTGACCACCTGTGTGTCAGTGGGGGTCTCGATTCTGAGGCCCAGATCTCCTTATAGCATGCAAACTCCCGAAGGCCAGTGAATGAGTCTATTGTGCTTCCCAGCAGGGCTCAGGTCTCTTGAAGAGACCTGGAGAGGCTGAAGAATCCATTGTTGTCATGATAGCACTGGAGGGGTGTGCTCTAGGCCACACACGAGGGCATGTCACATGTTTGTTTCACGCCACCCTCCCAGTCACACAGTGAAGGCACCATTACTGCCCTCTTTAAGAGGAAGGGTAGAAGGTGGAAGGGGACTGAGAGAATCTAAAAATCCCCTAGTGGCTGCTCAGATACGGCTCCATGACCTGCTTCCTACCGACGTCCCTGCTCCTAGTCTTAACTCCTGGGCAGGCAATTGTAAAAAGCCGTACGAGAGTGTGGGCGTCAGTCTCAGCACAGCTCCACTGTCTCCAGAAAGCAGAGAGAGGCCAGAGTCAGGAGGCCTGGCAGGGCCAGCCAGTGGCTCCCCAGACGACTTCCAAGTCCCAAAATAACACACTTTCCACAATGAACACGCGGGAAATGGCCCAGATCCCTCCCAGGCAGGCTAATATTATCTCTTCATTGAAATGTTCTGTCTGAAAGTGCAAGTAACATCTAGAAGGATTGGAACAGTCGGGGTTGACATTTCATTGTTCTCATAGAAGAGATCCTGAAGTAGGTGGTCCCAGTCACCAATATGCGGGGGCTCCTGGGAGTGCTGGCTCCCCCTGCCGAGCCCCTGTTGCTTCTCATCTGTCTCCCCGATCTCTTAAGACAGTGACACAAGCACATTAACACAGGAGGAGGGCTGCCACCCAGCCATGGCCCCTCCATCCTGGGTGTTTCTCCTTTCTCAAGAGTCAGCCACGCTGCCACCAAAGCGAAGAGATGCCCAGGCAGCCAGGGGCAGGTTCCTCTCAAGAGGTGGAATTTACAGCAAGGCAAGGGGAGAGAGATGGTGAAGTGACCCCCGTTTTTCTGAATTTAAATTCCCTGATGCCCTAGAGCTCTTGTGGGGGCAGGAAGGAGTAGGTTGGGGCCTCACTTCCAGAGAATCCCCTTCAGTCTTGGAGGCGTGGGCCTCGAGGGCATTGATGCCTGCTGTCCCCTGCTCAGGTCAACAGTGACCTCGTCTACATCACCGTGAAGAAGGACGGCTCTCACGTGGTGGAAGCCGTCGATACCACCCACATCGGGAAGCTGATTGTGACCAAGCAGCCTGGAGGAGATGGCGTGATGGACGTCACCGACACCTACAAGTTCCCAGAAGGTGATTCTCCAGTCATGGCAGCCAGGGCCTGCGATCCCTAGTGTCACCCCCACACACACACCCTCACATCAGCCCCTCACACACACCCTCACACCTCCCTCACATACCCCCTCACAACATCTCCTCTCTCCTCACATCAGCTCCTTACATCAGCCCCTCGCAACACCCCTCACACACCCCTCACAACACCTCCTCACACACACCCTCACAACTACCCCTCTATCCCCTCACATCAGCCCCTCACAACACCCCTCACATCATACCCTCAACACACCCTCACACCTCCCTCACACACCCCCTCACAACATCTCCTCACATCAGCCCCTCGCAACACCCCTCACACACCCTTCACAACACCCCCTCACACACAACCTCACACACACCCTCACAACAACCCCTCACATCCCCTTACATCAGCCCCTCACAACACCCCCTCACATCCCCTTACATACTCATTCACACACCCCCTCACACCCCCCTCACATCAGCCCCTCACAACATACCTCACAACATATCCTCGCACACCCCCTCAAAACACCCCATCACATCTGCCCCTCACAACACCCCCTCACAGCACCTCCTCACACACTTCCTCACATCTGCCCCTCACAACACCCCCCTTACAACATCCCCTCACACACACCCTCAGAATATGCCCTCACAACACCCCCACACAACACCCCCCCACACATACTCACACACCCACTCACAACACCCCCTCACATCTACCCCTCACAACACCCCCTCACACAACCTCTTACATCTGCTCTTCACAACACTCCCTACAATACCTCCTCACCTCTGCCCCTCACAACACCCCCTCACAACACCCCCTCACAACACTTCCTCACACATACCCTCACAACACGCCCTCACAACACCCCCACACAATATCCCCTCACACAAACCCTCACACACCCCCTCACAATAGCCCCTCGCATCTGCCCCTCACAACACCCCCTCATGACATCCCCCTCACAACACCCACTCACATCTACCCCTCACTACACCCCATCACATCTGCCCCTCATTACACCCCCTTACACAACCTCTTACATTTGCCCCTCACAACACCCCCTACAATACCTCCTCACCTTTGCCCCTCACAACACCCCCTCATGACATCCCCCTCACAACACCCACTCACAACACTCCCTCACATCTGCCCCTTACAACACCCCCTCACAACACCCCCTCACAACATCCCCTTCCATCTGCCCCTCACAACATCCTCCTCACATCACCCACTCACAACACCCCCTCACATCTGCCCCTCACAACACCCCCTCACAACACCGCCTCACAACACCCCTCTCACATCAGCCCCTCACATCAGCCCTTCACAGCACCTCCTCACAACACCGCCATACATTCCCTCACAACACGCCATCACAACACCCCCACACAACATCCCCTCACATCTGCCCCTCACGACACCCCCCTCACAACACCCCTCACATCTGCCCCTCACAACACCCCCCTCACAACACCCCCACACAACACCTCCTCACATCAGTCTCTTTTTATGTCAGTCCCTCACATCAGCCCCTCACACCCCCCCCCCACATCCCCTCACATCAGACCCTTCATGTCACACCCCCTTGCAACACCAGCACACTCTCCACTGCCTTCGAGATGTCTGCTTCTTTGCAGAGCTGTGTAGACATGTCTTGGGGCTGGGAGCTCCCAGGCAGTGCTCAGGAGGCCCCGGGATCCCTGCTAGAGGGTCCCCACAGGGCCTCGATGCTGTGCTCTCAACTGAGCCTCCAAGGGATTTCTCAGGGGCCCCACAGGGGCTGAGGGCACCCACAGCACCCACAGCACATTGGGGCCTGCAGGGCCCTGAGGGTAGGAGCCTGCTTCTCGGCGCAGCCCGCACACAGCCTCAGGAACCAGGGGCTACGGCCCTGACCCCAAGTCATGCTCGTGTCTGAGCCCCGCCGCACACCGAGGGGAGAGAAGACTGACACTGGGCACGCAGGGCGAGTCCCGGCACAGGCAGGAGGGGCCCCGGGGCACCCAGCAGAGTCCTGCAGGGTGAGGGGTGGGGCGCCAGGACTAGGGGCGCAGGTGGAGAGGCCTGGGGACCCCTCCTCCCTCCCTGGCCTGCGTGTCCCTGGGAACCTCTCCTGGCCCCCTGCCTCCCGCCTTCCCCGAGGCCCCTCCTCCCTGCGCCCGACCCCTGCCGCCAGCTCTCCCCTCCCGCACTTCACCTAAATGCATCCTTGGGACCTATCCAAGGCGCTAATGGCTCTGCCCTCCTCCTGAAACGCCCAGCAGCTCCCAGGCGACGCTCCACCCCAGCTCCCCGGTCCTGTGTGACCCAGACCCCCCCCCCCCACCCCTATTGATCTGCACATGCTCGCCAAGGTGGTCCTAGAACACTCATTTCCAGAACATGCTTGTGTCGGGCCACCAGAGGAAGTGCCAGAGCACACCTGTCCATGGGCCACGCTGCCTGCAGACAGAGCACACGCACGTCCATGGGCCAGGATAGCTGGACACTGGCGCAAAGATGGCCCGACCTGTGTACCCTGGGCTGTGGGCAGGGGTCTGTGGGCTTGGAGGCTGTGAGGGGCTTGGGGGTCTGCATGTAACTTCAGAGAAAACAGTGCTTCTGACAGAGGAAGCAGGGAAGCAGTGTGTCTGATGGAGGAGGCACGTAAGGACGCCCCAGAGAGCGTTAGTCTGCTGAGGCGGGGTCTGGGAGGTGGGCAGTGAGGGGCTGTGAGGGGCTTGGGGGTCTGCATGTAACTGCGGAGCCTGGGGGTGGGCAGAGGGGAGCTGTGAGGGGCTGTGGAGGGTGGAGGAATGTGGGGCCTCAGGGGCCTCCCTCACAGCCACCCCTCACCCCCTCTCCCCAGGCCAGGAGGAGGAGCGGCTGGCTCTGGAGACGGCCCTCATGTACGGGGCCAAGAAGGAGCTTTCCACGGAGGGCGTGGTCAAGCCCAGGTCTGACGTGGACATGGACTTCGAGGTGGAGAACGCAGTGCTGGGCCAGGACTTCAAGGTCATCATCACCTTCCAGAACCACAGCGCCAACCGCTACACGCTGTCCGCCTACCTGTCGGGCAACATCACCTTCTACACGGGCGTCACCAAGGCGGAGTTCAAGAAGGAGAGCTTCGAGGTGGCCCTGGAGCCGCTGTCCTGTAAGCCGCCCCCTCCCGCAGCCTGGACACGCCCTGCGGGACCCCCACCTCCCGGGCGGAGGAGGGGCCCATGCCTGCCCTGGGGAGGAGCGTCAGGGCACCAGGCAGGAGAGGCTGCACCACTTAGGGGACCAGGCTGAGCGCACACACAGGGCTTCAGGAAAGCCAGGCGCCCGGTGGAGGAGGCAGAGATGGTGTGTCTGATGGAGGAGGAAGGAAAACAGTGCTTCTGACAGAGGAAGGGGGGAAGCAGCGTGTCTGATGGAGGAGGCACGTGGGGACGCCCTGGAGACCGTCAGTCTGCTGAGGCTGGTGGGCGTGGGAGCTGGCGCGCGCCCGTGGGAACATTCTGGGGGCAGAGCCCACCCACCTGCACCGACAGATGGGGCGCAGGAGCGGAGGCAGAGCAGGAGACAAGTGAGGGGGAGGGAGATGCCCCCCACCGGGTGCCTACGGCAGGGCCCGGCCTGGGTCCTGCGTGTGGAAATTGTCCCCTGCACCGTCCGGCCCCCTCCCTCCCCCTCCCCCCACCTGGAATTCCCAAGCTCCAGGGAAGGGGGCGCCCGGGCCCCTCGGGGACAGCTGGGTCCACCGGGCGGCTCAGGCGGCAGAGGGCGGCTGGGCTCGGGCAGCCCGTCCACCAAGCCCCGAGGGCAGGGCACGCTGCAGAAGGCGCCGCTCAGCCCGGCCTGCAGCTGTGTGGGAGGAGACTCGAGCACCCAGACCTGCGGCACCTCCCGAGGTGCGAGCTGGCACGGCTATATTTAGCTGCAGCCCCTGGGAGGGGGGACGCCCCGGCCGTGTCTCCCGGCCAGGGATGAGCCCCGTTCTGTGACTCTTGCCACGTTTAATAAGCTTGATCCAGAGCGCAGTGGTTATGTAACACACTGTTCCAGGAGCGTCTTCTGGGGGCCCAAGCAAGCCCAGAGCTCAGGGCTGTGCTGGAGAGAATGTTCCGGGCTGAGTGTACAGGGCCCCGGGGGCCCGGCCCTCTGACCTCGGGGGAGCCCCTCTCCCTGAGGCTGGGCTTCAGGAACAGCCAGCAGGGGCTTCGCCACTTCCTGGGCGGCCAGACACGCCCCGTCTGCCTGTGGCTGAGGCCAGACCCCCTGCCGGGCCAGGGCCAGGTCCCCCGCCGGTCATTTCCAGCAAGGCGGAGCCCAGAGTCAAGGGCAGGGAAGGTCGAAGCTGCTAAGGGCGGGGCGGGCCGGTGCCAGGAGCCCAGCCAGCTGGCAGTGCCGGCGGGGACAGGCAGATGCTGTCCCAGAGCAGAGTAGCCAGAGGAGGGCGGCTGCCCTGCCTGCCCTGGGCTTTGCTGCTCTTGGCGGTTCCCATGGCCTCCAGCCCCCACACCAGGACCCCCAGGGGAGGCAGTGACCTGGGGCAGGGGAGTGTCTGTGGGCTGGAGACTCCCGGAGCAGGGCGAGTGGCCGGCAGGGCTGTGGGTGGTGGGACAGGCTGCCCACATCAGCCCGAGCTAGCCGGACACCAGCACTAAGCCGAACCCAGAGGCCGCGCCCGCCAGGCAGCTGGGACGGTTGGTCTCCCCTTCTCAGGCCAGACTGCCCCCGTGGTCGGCCGGGAGCCCAGGGCTGCCGGAACAGGGCCCAGAGCTGAGGGCCGAGCTTGGGCAGGCCCCGGGCATGGGGCAGGACCAGACGCACCCCCCTCCTCCGCCTCCCGGGCTGGCCTGGGCGTGTTGTGGGCTGAACCCCCGTGGGGCTCTCTGCACGCGTGTGTCTTCTGGGGCACTGGGACATGCACCTGTCCTGGTTATTCCTGCTCACCCCACTCTCCACCCCTCAGAGCCCTTCACTGCTGGCAGGGCAGACCCAGCGTCAGGGGTGCGGGGCTCCCGGGACAGGTCAGCTCCTCGGGCGTCCAGCACGCGTCCCCCTTTCCTCCCCCAGCCAAGAGACAGGAGGTGGTGGTCCGGGCGGGCGAGTACATGGGCCAGCTGCTGGAGCAGGCATCGCTGCACTTCTTCGTCACCGCCCGAGTCAACGAGACCAAGGACGTGCTGGCCAAGCAGAAGTCCACGGTGCTGACCATCCCCACGCTCACCATCAAGGTCAGGCTGCGCCTCTCGCTCTGGGGCGTCCGGGCTGTGGACGGGGCACGCAGACGCCATGCGTGCAGGTGTGCGTGTGTGTGCGTGGCATGGGGGTGCACGCCTCCCACTCAAAAAGGAAAAAACGTTCATAAAAAGAAGCTAGGAACCTCCTGTTCTTTGAAAGAAGCAAACCGCCCTATATATGGACGCGCGCATGTGACGCCCGCTCTCCTCTCCGGATCTAAATATATAGATGCGGATATAAATACAACCTGTGGGTATAAACACACTTGTGGAGAGGAGGCCTGAGACAGACACGGAGAGCTTTCAGTTTCTTCTGAATTAAGTGGGTCAGGCAGGATTTGATCATGGAAGCCGCCGGAACCTTCCCACCTGCTCGTGACAGGGCTGTTGAGTGCTGAGCACAGCTGGGCACGGGGGAGCAGGAGACTGGGGGCGCAGCCACATGGAGAGCTACAGAGACGGGCAGGCATGTACACATGTGGACACTGTGTGTGCGTGAACAGGGGATGGAGGGAGGGATGGGCGGGTGGGTGGGTGGATGGATGGGTGCGTGGATGGGTGGGTGGGTGGGTGGATGAATGGATGAACAGGTGGATAGGAGGATAGGTGGGGGGTTTATGATAGGGTTAATGGGTGGATGGACGGATGAGCTGCAGATGGATGGATGGATGGATGGATGGGTGAGTGGGTGGGTGGATGGATGGGTGGGTGGGTGGATGGGTGGATGGAAAGATGGATGAGTGGGTGGATGGATGGATGGATGGATGATGGATGGATGGATGGGTGGATGGATGGATGGGGGATGGATGGATGGGTGGATGGATGGATGGATGGATGGATGGGTGGGTGGGTGGATAGACGGACAGATGGAGAGATGGATGGGTGAATGGAAGAACTTGTGGGTGGATGGGTGGATCAGTGGTACGTGGACAATGGACTGATATGTCCCACAACACTGACCCGAAGCAGATGGAGAGGATTTCCACACGTAGGAGGTCTCCGCATACCTTCTTCAGCTAGCAGTGCCTTGCCCTCACCCAAATAACCACTTTCCTGCTGGCATGACTTTTAGGTCATTTGGTTTGAGGGAGATTTTATTTTGCTTGTGTTGCTGGGAGCTTTGTTTGGTTTTATTGAGGTGATGCTGGCGACCCGGGCTGTAGGTGTTTGCATTTGGGGGCATGATGCCCCCCAGACCCCCCTGCTAACATCCCCTACCCATCCTTTAGCCTGCCCTGTGCCCACTGAGCCCAGGGCTGTCCTCACGGGACACTGTCCCATGGAGGAGTGTGTCCTTGTCCTGACTTGCTTCCCTGAGCACGGCCCCTCCGGGTCCCTCCATGTTGTAACAAAAGGCATCTCACCCATCCATCCATCTACCCACCCACCCACCCACCCACCCAAACACCCACCCACCCACCCTCCCTCCCTCGGCAGCCTGAGTCGGGACCCAGGACTCCTTTCTGCGCGCCCACCGCTGGGCTCCCTGGCTGTCTCCAGACTGAAGAGGCTGCAGTGGACATGGGCGTGCAGACAGCTCTCTGAGCTAATGTCAGTCTCCTTGGGGTGGACGCCCAGGTGTGGAATCAGTGGATCATTTGGTAGTTTGGTTTCCTGCTTGGGGCTTGGGTCTATACAGAACCAGTTTGCTTGCCCAACCAAGGCGAGGGCACCCCGCCACACGCTCAGCAGGGGCACCCTTGTGGGCAGGTGCGGGGCGAGGCCTCGTGACTTTCGTCTGTTTCCCTGAGCATCAGTGATAAGCTTGTTGCCGCCGCCTGGGGACCCAGCGCACCCCTTCCACCAGGGGCTAGCCAGCTCTGGCCCTGGTTTTGGACAGGGGCTTCCTTGCGTGGAATCTAGTGCCTGCCGTGTGAGAGTCCTGCTGTGGCCGGCAGCTCTGTGCTTCTCTCCATTGACCTCTGGGCATTGCTGCCCGCCAGCTCCAGGGGTCTGCAGGCTCCTCTGTGCCCTGCTCCTGGGGCACACCTGGGCCTGGCATCCTGTGCGCCGAGGGGAGGGCTGGAACGTCTTCATTGATCAGGCGTGATTTCCAGAAGCTTCCTTCCTCTGGCGCAGGCAGTGCTGGAGGGGGGGACTCGCGTCTGTCCGTCATGCCCCAGGCCTGGGTGGGACCAGGGAGCCACAGAGAGGGGGGCCATGCCTGACACAGTGACGGCTGCCAGCTGGCTGGCCCCGGCCCCCACCCACAAGCCCCACAGAACAGAGGACACGCTGGCCACGGCGCTTCCCAGGGCAAGGGCCCAGCAATGACCAGGGCCCAAAGCCCGCCCCTGCGCCTCAGAGGACGCGCCCGCCCCCAGGCCGCCTAAGGCACAGGGAGATGGGCACTGCCCTGGGGGCGCTGTAGGGGCTGGGGCAGGGCAGGGGATGCCTCCACAGCCCCAGTGACACGCGTCCTCACTGGGGACACCCCACCTGCGCGGCAGGTCATGCCCACGCAGGGGCTGTGGCCCCTGGACGCCTCTTGGTGGGCCCCTTCCACGCTGACCTGGCAGCAACTGTTTCCGGGCAGAGAGGAAGTGCCCCTCGGGCACCAGCCTGAAGGAAGAGCTTCCGCCGCCCAGGCACACGCACACACTGCACGTGGCGCAGAGGCACCGGGCAGGGACAGTCCAGCCTCTGCTGGCCAAGCCCTGGGCCAGACCCAGCTCAGGGCCGCAGCCAGAGAGCCAAGACGTGTCAGAGTAAAACCCTCAGGGACCCCCGCTCCAGAAAGCCCAGCGGGCAGGGTGGGGGGCTGCACAGTCCCTGAAGATGGGAGTGCAGAGCCACGAGTAAGGGAAGTGCAGAGGGGAATGCTGAGTCCTGGGGAAGGACAGGCAGGAAGTGCTGAGTCATAGGGAAGGGGAAGGACAGGCAGGAAGTGCTGAGTCGTGGGGAAGGGGAAGGACAGGCAGGAAGTGCTGAGTCGTGGGGAAGGGGAAGGACAGGCAGGAAGTGCTGAGTCGTGGGGAAGGGGAAGGACAGGCAGGAAGTGCTGAGTCATGGGTAGGGAAGTATAGGCAAGAAATGCTGAGTCAGGGCCAGAGAGGTAATGCAGCAGGTCGTGTGCCTTTGCCTTGCACTTGCCTGACCCAGGTTTGATCCCCAGCACCACATACAGACCCCAAGCCCACCAGAAATGATTCTTGAATGCAGAGCCAGAAGTAAGTCCTGAGCACAGCAAGGTATGCCCAAAAAATTTTTTAAAAAAAAAGGAAAAATGCTGAGTCAAGGATATGGGAGGACAGGCAGCACATGCTGAGTCATGGGTAAGAAAATGCAAGCAGGAAATGCTGAGTCATAGGCAGGAGAAGCATGGGCAGGAAACACTGAGTTATGGGTCTGGAAAATAGACAGGAAAGGCTGAGTCATCAATATAGAAGTGACAGAGGAATAGAAACTGCTGACTCAGGCTGGAAATGAGAGAGGTGCTGAGTGTTAACCCCCTGGGAGGACTCTAACCTCCACCTGCAGGTCTCCTGGGGGACTCTAATCCCCTGGGGGACTGTAACCCCCCCTGGGGTCTCTAACCACCTAGGAGGACTCTAACCTCCACCTGCAGGTTTCCTGGGGGACTCTAACCCCCTGGGAGGACTCTAACCCCCTAACCTCCCTCCCCTTCCCGAACCCGTCTTTCCTACCTGTTCCTCAGGCCTGTTGCCATGGACGGAGATCTCTGGGGCCTCCAAATGTTAGGGCACGACACTGGATCTCCGACCGCAGACAAGGACCACACAGGAATGCAATCAGCAAGCAGGCAGTTTATTGAGCTAGCTAGCCAGGGTCGTGCACATGCACACAGGGACGCCCAGGTCCCATGTGATGGGCCAGACCCCGACCCAAGGTACAGAGGTTACTTATTATATGGGCCCAAGTCGGCCAATACAGCAGATTTGAAGGTCACAATTTATGTAAGTGCCCGCTCCGGGCTTCACATGGTATCCGGGTCCAAGGGCTGAGCCAGACCGGTGACAGCCATCTGTTTCATAGCTCAGGGGCCCGTACGTTCCTCCCGGAACAAGCAGATAGCAGAGCCCTGAGTGGAAACTTCAGTCTTCATTGTCCTTGGCCCAGCCCGAGGCTGCCCTGTCCTAACACCGAGTCACCGGCTAGAGGTGACAAGAACGTGGCTTCAAGGGCTCAGGAGGGAGGCGTGGCCACGGGGAGGTCAGGGCTGTGTCCCTCCTCACCCACGCCCAGTTTGGCAGGTGGGGTGGAGCGGGGCCCCTGCACCCGAGGCAGCTGCTCTGCAGACCCCGGTGTGGACCTCGGACCTGGGCCTTGGGGGTCTGGACTCTGAGCAGGAGTGTCCAGGCCACAGGCTGCCATGCTGGGCCTCGGCAGCAAAGAGGTGGGGCTCAGGGAGGCCACGGCCCCTCACACGCTGCGCAGCAGCAGGGCCAGGGGCCTGTGGGCAGCAGGACCGGAGGAGCTGTGCAGAGGGATCCGGGCACGTGCTCCAGAGTGGGGGCAGCCCTGAGCCACGGTGGGGGGGCGGTGTTCCGGGGACAGCCCTGCCCACCCCAAGTCTCTGAGCCCAACATCCCCACCCTTGACCCTGGCAAAGGTCTTCTGGAAGCCAGAGGCCCAGCTGGAGAAAGGGGCCTCCTGAACCATGCAGTTGCCCACCGAGTCACGCAGGGCACCCACCAAGCCATGCAGGGCACCCCCTGAGTCACGCAGGCGCCCACCACATCCCTGGCATCCCTGGCAGAGTGGGCGGTCAGGCCCCTGCCCCGCCCTGTGCACGGCCCAGGTTGGATCGTTTCCTCCTGGTGACGTGAGCCGGGGTCCGCCCCTGTGCCCGCCAGAGCCTCTGCGTCTGGGGTGGGAAGCGCAAGGAGGCGTCACTCAGCCCTAATGAGCTCCGTCTCCTCTGCTGCATGATCAAAATATTGTGATGGGCTGCGGGTGCTTGAGATCGGGGGCCCCTCTCCCTGAGCGGGGGGCTGGGAGGCGGCTGGCACCGGGACTCTCCGCACTTTTATTTTTAGGGAGCGGGAATGTTCAGAGCCGTGCGGAGAGGAGCCAGGGAGGGCTGTGGGGGTCTCCTGCAGGCTCGCCTTGGCCACGGACAGACAGACGCTAGGACAGACGCCGGAACAGACGCTGGGGCCGGCCGGCTCCGGGCCCCGGGCTCCCAGGGCTGCCCTGGGCCGAGTGCCTCGGCTTGGAGCAGAGCCGTTCCTGGACGCCCCGGGGAGGGCTCAGCCAGAGCTGACCCCCACGGGCTCGGGGAGGACAGACGGACGTCCCCACGGCCACCTGCAGTCGCCGCTGCTGCTCCCGCCTCCTCCTCCTCCTCCTCCTCCTCCTCCTGCTCTTCCTCCTGCTCTTTATTTTTCTCCTCTCTGTGCTTTGCCTCCCGTCCTTTGACTCATTCTTACCTTTCTATCCCCCCCTCCTTTGCCACCTCCTCCCCTTCACCTCCTCCTCCTCCTCCTCCTCCTCCTCCTCCTCCTACTGCTTCTCCTCCTCCTCCCTCTCCCCTCCTCCCTCGACCCACCCTGCAGAGTGCCCGGTGCTGGGAAGCCTGCTCAGGGCTGAGGCGGCCTCTGTGGGTGAGGAGGCCAGTGCGGGGGCAGCAGCCACCCCCCCCCCCGCCCAGGGCTGCCTGGGCCCCAAGACTCCCCACCCCAGGGAAGTTTGGGGATACCCACCTCCAGCCCCCGAGCAGCTCAGCCCAGAGTGGGCAGGTCACCGCACTGCGGCCCGGCCGGTCTGCCGCCAACATCCCAGACACACATGGTCAGCACAGCTGGGAGGTGACTGGAGGGGGACAGGGGAGTGTGGATGCTGAGTGCTGGGGTCAGGGTGGGGCTCCCGGAACGGAATGTTCCCCTCCACCTTTGCCCTCGGCATGTAGGGAGGAACCAGCCAGTTCTGGGAAAGCCCCACAGCTCCCGGGGCGGCTGGCTCTGCCCGGGCACCAGACCCAACCTCAGGGGTGCCCCGCCCGCAGCCCCGGGGGGCCGCTCTCTAAGGAGGTCCCACCTTTGCCCTGAACACGGATCAAGGCTGAGGGCTGGGGCTGCGCTCCCAAGCCTGGCTCAGCCCTTGGCCTCCACGCTCGAAGCCTCAAAGGGCCTTTTAGTGGATTCCGGAAAACAAAGACACTATTTCCAGCCCAAAACAGCCCCAAAGCCCCAGTGACTATTTTTGCCTCGGCTGTGCCCAGAGAAGGGGGTGGGGGCAGCCCAGCCGCTCCGAGTCCTGGGGGGACGGACTCCCCCCATGGCCCGGGTGTGCACAGACATGCTGGTCGGCAAGAACCAACGCCGCAGTCGCCTGGGGGTAGCCGAGGGGATGGACCAGCCAACAGTCGCACCTCACTTATTGCTGGCATCTAGCTTATGTCCGAGTGAAACTGCTTCGTTTAGTTTCGGCCACCCTCGGGGCCGTGCAGAGGCTGGCGGGGTGGACGCGGGCCTCCGGGTGCCCCCGCCCCCACCTTGAGCTCTCCTGGCCTGTTTTAGGCCGATTTGCATAAACACTTTCCAAAGGGGGGGCAGTTGCTGCGTCCACCTGGCTGCCCTCCCCCCCGGCCCCCGCTCCAGGGCGGCTTCACCCATAAACTCCATGGGGCAGGGAGCGCGGGCACACGCCGTCCACCTCCCGCTGGCCAGGAGCAGCTGGTGGCTGGGCATTAGCTGCGGCTCTAATGAGGGTGATTCTCATTAGTGATTTTCCACGCGCTCCTGACAGGGCGGCCCCCGGCCTTGCCGCAGAGCCAGAGGTGAGGCCGCGGGCGGGCTGCTCACACACCTTCTCCCACGTCCCAGGTCCGGGGCACCAGGATGGTCGGTTCCGACATGGTGGTGGCCGTGCAGTTCACCAACCCTCTGAAGGAGCCGCTACAGAACGCCTGGATTCGCCTGGAGGGGCCCGGCGTGCTCAGGCCCCGGACCAAGTCGTTCCAGTAAGAGCCGGGGGGGCCCCTGGGCTCGGCCCAGCACATCAGTGGCTACAGGAGTGGCCAAGAGAGGGCCTGGACGCCAGGCCCTCCCGCCCGCCTGGCTCAAGTTTGCATCCAGCGACTGCTTCCAGGCCGATGTTCCCTTTAAGCAGGGTCAGGGTCACTGCAGTCAAGGGTCTCTCCTTCCCCCTGCGGGGGTCCACTGAGCACTGGAACCCCAGTCGGCGCCTCAGGCCTGCCCCAGCTCTCGCTAGAACAATCCCCTCCTCCTGCAAGCGGCAACGGAAGCTCATCCCAGGGGCCCTGCCCATAGCGCTGCTGCCAAGCGTGTGTGCACAGAAGCCACGTGTGAACAGGCGTGATGTGGCCAGCCTGCGTGTAGGAGATCCGGGGATGGGGGCTCTCTGCGGCTCCGGGCTCCGCTCGCCCGGCCAGCTACTGCCCAGCCTGGACAGCGTCCCGGCGGGATGGTGTGGGAAGGCGCTGGCCCTGATGCTGCCCAGGTGGAGACTGGAGGGCCACGGCGAAGCCTGAGCAGCACCGTCCTTGGGGCTAAACCTTCAGCCCAGCTGCTGGAGGTCACTGAGGGTCACAGGCTCTGAGCACAGCAGGGGCCCCCGGATGGGACATTCCTGCCCACAGACCCACAGAGGCTCCTGGGGCAGGTGGGCAGGTCTGGAGAAGGGGCTTTCTGCAGGAGGAGGGCAGGACGCGCAGCCCTGCCAGGCCCGGGGGGCAGCGGGGGGGTACACGGCAGAGACGCAGGGAGAGGAGAGGCCTGGGCAAGGGGAGGGGCGGAGCCTGGGAGTCCCTGGACACTCAGGGCAGAGAGGGAGAGAGAGGGAGGGAGGGGTCTGGCTGTGGCCGGCCCTGCCCTCTGTCTCACTGTCCCCCCCCCCCCCCCCAGGGAGATCCGGCCAGGCGCCACGGTGCAGTGGGAGGAGGTCTGCAGGCCCTGGATGCCGGGCCCCCGCAAGCTGATGGCCAGCTTGACCAGCGACTCCCTGCGGCACGTGTACGGGGAGTTGGACCTGCAGATCCAGAGGCGCCCGCAGGCCTGAGCAGAGCCGCGCCCGCCCTGCCCAGGCCCCTGCCCAGGCCCCAAGCTCCTGCTTCGCTGCCGCTTCCCCGCCCCGCACGCTCCGGCTGAGCCCAGTTAAGCCCTAACTTGGCTCCGCAGCTCACCTGCCTGGGAGTCGCTCCCCAGGGCTCCCCAGTGACGGGCCCAGAACCACAGCCCGGCTTCGCAGGGACGTCAGGGGTCCCGGCAGGAGGGGAGGCCGAGGTGTGCGGGAACAGAACAGAGCAGAGAGGGGGTCTGTGGGCAGGAGCAGCCCCTCACTCTCTGCCTGCACAGCCCTTGCTAGGCTCCAACCACGGACCAGCCCTGAGAGCCAGACATGTGGATGTGCCCTCGGGCGGGACCGTGACAGGCTGGCCGGGTCAGGCGGGGGCGGCCGAGTCAGCCCTCCCTGCCTTCCCGGCCCCCCAGTCCAGGCCGAGCCCCTCCCCGCCCTCCCGGCCACACGCAGGCAGGTGCTGCCCGCTTAGCGCGGCCGTCCTTACTAACCGAGTGTAACGAAGCTTCAATAAAGCTGGTCTGGCGGAATCGGCCCACGAGTGAATGATGACTCCCACCTCTGCACGGAGACCCCAGGGTGACACGGCTCCCGCTCCCACTCCGCACTCTGACCCCCACCCCCGCCGTCACTGAGGCCAGTCCAGGGGGCAAGGTCAGAAGCCAACACGCCCTTTCTCGCACTGACCCCGGATGGATCATGGCCAGACCATCACGAACGCCTCTGGTCCGGCCACTTCCAGGGCTTAGAGCAGAGATGAGCCCTGGGCAGGAGTGAGACTGGGTCAGCTGCCTGGGGGCTCAGGGCTGAGAGGTGAGTCGGAAAAGGCCACAGGGAGGGGGCAGGGGAAGGAAACTGGGAAACATGGCCCTGGGCCCCGCCAGAAGTCAGAGAGCTGGGAGTCAGCCCTAAGCACTGAGCTGGGAGTCAGCCCTGGGCACTGAGTCGAGAGTCAGCCCTGGGCACTGAGTCGGAAGTTAGCCCTGGGCACAGAGCCGGGAGTCAGCCCTAAGCACTGAGTCGGGAGTCAGCCCTGGGCACTGTGCCAGCAGTCAGCCCTAAGCACTGAGTCAGGAGTCAGCCCTGGGCACTGAGCTGGGAGTCAGCCCTAAGCACTGAGCTGGGAGTCAGCCCTGGGCACTGAGTCGAGAGTCAGCCCTGGGCACTGAGCTGGGAGTCAGCCCTGGGCACAGAGCCGGGAGTCAGCCCTAAGCACTGAGTCGGGAGTCAGCCCTGGGCACTGTGCCAGCAGTCAGCCCTAAGCACTGAGTCAGGAGTCAGCCCTGGGCACTGAGCTGGGAGTCAGCCCTAAGCACTGAGTCGGGAGTCAGCCCTGGGCACTGTGCCAGCAGTCAGCCCTAAGCACTGAGTCAGGTGTCAGCCCTGGGCACAGAGCCGGGAGTCAGCCCTAAGCCCTGAGCTGGGAGTGAGCCCTAAGCACTGAGCTGGGAGTCAGCCCTGGGCACTGAGCCGGGAGTCAGCCCAGAGCACAGCGCCAGGAGTGAGTCCTGAGCTCTGCTGGGTGTGGCCCAAAAACCAAAAAGAAAAACCCAAAGTGGAGAGTGGTGCTGTTGGTGCCGGCGTGCAGAGCTGGGGCCTGCTGGTGTCTCAGGAAGGGTCGGGGCAAGTGCCCCTCTGCCGCCGGTGGGGGGGGGGGGCCCTCCGTGCTGTGGGCTGGTGCTGACTCAGCAGCTCCTGCAGACGCGGGGGATTAGGTGGGCCGGGAGTCTACTGCAGGCTCAGAGCTCAGCGTCTGCTCCGGTGGGGCTCTGGGACCATGTGGGGAGCCGGGGGCTGGGCTGGGGTCAGTCACCCTCACACCCCACCCCACGGCTCTCTCTTTGTCCCAGTGTCTCCTGCCCCAGGCCACCCAGTGGAGCCCGTCTGCCCCTCCCCTCCCTGTGGGCGGGACCGTCCCTGGGGCGTCTGAGCCTGATCTGGGCGTCTCTCGGGACCATCAGGTGCCTGCCAAGAGTGGCCTTTTCCACCTGCCGTCAAAGTCAGCTGCGCCCTGCGTCTCCTCAGCTGCCTCAGCACCCTTGGGCCACACCGGACGCCTCTGTCCCCAGGACTCACAGGGACACTCCCCGCCCAAACCAACTGACACAGGCCCCAGCCCACCTGCTGCCGCCGACTCGACCTCCCGGTCTCAAGACGTCCAGGTCTTTGGTTCTGTTGCTGAGGCCCAGGACCTACAGGCCCCTTTCTTGGTTAGAGCCGTGAATTCCAAAGCTCGGAGTCGAATCGAGAGAGCGTCCCATCCCAATTAGCTTTCTGAGTCACTGTGCAGGACCCCACGGGGGTCACCAGCCCTCATCACTAATGTGAAACCGGGAGCACCATCTCCCAGTTGCTCTCCATACGCTCGGGCCGAGCCTTGCCCCCTCTCCCTGGTCATCTCATGCCTCACACCACTCATACTCCACGAGCAGTGCACCACATCTGGTGGGGCTTAAAGAAGACAGCCAGCCTCAGAGGGAGATATATTACACACACACGCACACACACACGCACACACACACAAGCTCAACCTTTAACAACATGTTAGTAACCTCTTACAGAAGGACTTAATGCCTTCTGGATGAACAATCTTCACACACTCGTCTCTAAAGAAAGTTTTTTGGAGCATTTTCAGCAGTTTATTCATAACAAACAATACAAAATGAATTATTTCGGTTTTGCTTTGGGACAGGGGTTACGGTTTGGGATGGAAACATCCAAATATGGTGGTGGGATTAGTGTTTGAATATTAAGTGTAACCAAATATCGTGAACTACTTCATACAGTCACTGTCACTGTCCTCCCGTTGTTCATCGATTTACTCGAGCAGGCCCAGTAATGTCTCCATTGTGACATTTGTTATTGTGTTTGGCATATCAAATATGTCACGGGTAGCTTGCCAGGCTATGCCGTGCGGGCAAGATACTTTCCGTAGCTTGCCAGGCTCTCCGAGAGGGGCGGAGGAATTGAACCTGGGTCGGCCGTGTGCAAGGCAAACACCCTACCTGCCGTGCTATCGCTCCAGCCCAACTACTTCATAAAATTATAATAAATTTAAAGAATAAAATAAAAAATAACATTAATTGAGAGAAAAAAAAGAAACCGGGCACATCAGAGCCTCTCTGCAGGCTGGAACCGGGCTTCAGAAGCTGTGGAAACAGGAGGCAGAGTCCAAGATTCCTGCGCACAGCAAACATGAGCTTGCCTGAGTGCAGAAGCAACATGGCAGGAAGGCCTCAGTCAACCCTTTCCCAAGAGCTGGCCACGCACAGAGGACACTTTGGCCGCCCTGGGTCATGCTTCCAGCCACACCTGATGCCTCTTCCTGCCCGCTCTGGCCGTGATCGAGCGACTTGCAGGGAAGCGCAGTCTGTGGACTGCAGGAAACCAGCCAGGCATCAAGAGGACTGTGCCAGGCCCATCCCTGAGCAGCCCCTGCCGCGTATGCAGGGATGAGAAGTCGACCTCACTTAGAAAGGGACATGCGTGTCCATCACCTCCGAACATCCGGGACACTGAGCGCGTGAGAACTCCAATCCCAGGAAACCAGAGGCAAAGGCTCCTGAAGAGGCCTTGGCGGAGGGGAGGTGCTGGTGTTTCAAGTCCCGCACAGACACGGCCTCTCCCTGGGTGAGGCGGCCAGTCCCAGGGGAGGCGGACGGAGGGCGAGGGCAGGGAGGGCCGGCCACTCCACGTGGAGTGCAGGGCAGACTCAGCCCCGTTCTCCCCCTCACTCCTCCTGGCTGGGGAGGGCATGCACAGAACCTCTTCCTCCCCTACGTGCCCCTCTGCGTACTCATGCTGAGTCCTGGTTTTCTATGAAAGGCTGACAGACACGGACACACACAAGCTGTAGCCTCCCTTGGTGCACATGAATGGATACGTGGGCCGTGTGGAGTACGCGAGCGGCACCAGCGCTGAGCTCTGGACCCGGGCAGGGATGAGGAAGCGTCAGGTGAGGCAGGTTTCAGCAGCCTCGGACCTAATTCCCTTGACTTTCATTCCCTTGCCTCTGTTTCTTGTATACCAAGAGGAAGGTCCTTGTGTTTTGAATGAGTGACATGCTGGTGAAATGCAGGCGACACCATGTATCGTGGGGGTCTCTGCATGGCCTGAGTGGTCTACATTAAACCAGGGTGATTTTCACGGCATGTTCGTGTCTGGGGCGCACCAGCTCACCACTAACCTCCTAAAACATCAGCAAGGATTGAAAGCACATTCGTCTCAGGCAGAGACCCACGCGAACTAAAGTTCACCAAGCCGGTCTGCAGAATAAATCAACTCTCCGATAGAAGGGCTTTGCAGGAGACAAGTCTTAAGCTTATCCAGGTACGATTCGCAAAGTCACACAATCTCCCCAAGCTCAATGCTGCCCACAGCATGTGTAAATTTTAGACAAGTAATGTGTTCTCAGCCCAATGTAAGTTGGTGTTAAATTCAACCTGCATTTACCCGCAAACATTATGTACAGTCGATAGCCAAGAGAGCATGCACAAATGCTAACGTCGGTTCCATTTGATAAATTTGTTGATTTTAGTTTGCACTAGTTTCCCAATGACCTATTACAATAAGAAATTCTTCCAATAGACATTCCTTAATAAAATATGGTTTAACTTTATAAATCCATGACCCCAAAATACTTACAATTAAGCAATCAAAATGGACCTTAAGAATATCTTTCAGTAATGAATCAGATTTAGAAACTATCCTGAGATCCACAAAGATGAAAGACTAAATGTTTGTTGTTGTTTGCAATGTCTTATTCACTTTGTTAGTGTACTGTTTCAGTAAGGCTTCAATCGGCTGGGTTTCCAAATCGTGTGAATGAATTGAAACCTCTCAAAAGTCATAAACATTCCATAAATTACAAGGATCTATTCAACTGGGTTCTATTTCATAAAATTAAGCTATATAGATGTACCAATATTCCAAAGGGCATAAAAAAGAAAATCACCCTATAGCGATTGCAGCTACTTTCATTTTTCAAGAAAGAGGTTCGCTCCCATATGGATTTTCTCCGAAACACATTATCCAAATGATGGAAATATCGAAAATATCACACAAATTGTGAAACATTAACTACTTTTATGACAACGTGGAAAGAGGTGAATTAGGAAAAGCAAAACGAACAATTTATCCAGAGTATTTCACAAAGAATTAATGGAAATGGCGGGGAAGTGTGCATGTAAATTGTAGTCCTAATTAAAACGACTCCATTATCAGAGTCTGCAATGTAAATGGCGAATACCGGTTATCTGATGACTATTGTGTATACATATCCTAATGCAATCAGCGATGAATGAACTTTAAGTTTTTGCCAACTTCAAGCCATCTGCCTGTTAACATATTAAATAAACTCAAACAAGATCTGCAAGATTATAAATGGCTGCGGAACAGTGTTTGTGATTCGTCAGCTCTGGAGCTCTGGTGAGTGGTGCGGATGAAGAACTCCAAGTTCCTCTGGAAGGGGGTGTGGGCTGGTGGGTGCGCGTGTCCCA